AATATGAACATAGTGGCATTCAGATAGAATGCGTTCATTCCAAAGTATAGCAGATATAAGCTATAAGGTTGGATTCATTTTATACCTTCTGTGGTGTGTTGTTGGTAGTGCCTTGACTTAGTAACTATAAGTCCTACGTTCGAGTCCCGGTCGAGGTAAAAAAATGATTCATGTTTTCACATATGCAATGTGCTTATTTGAGTATTGTATGACCCGAATGAGATTGGGAATTGAATTAAATGCGAACATGAAGCCACGAGTGAGGTTGGGGAATCAATAATATGAACATAGTGGCATTCAGATAGAATGCGTTTATTCCAAAGTATAGCAGATAAAAGCTATAAAGTTGGATTCCTTTTATACCTTCTGTGGTGTGTAGTTGGTAGCGCCTTGATTTAATAATTATGTCCTAGATTCGAGTCCCGGTTGAGGTAAAAAATGATTCATGTTTTCACATATGTAATGTGCTTATTTGAGTATTGTATGACCCGAATGAGATTGGGAATTGAATTAAATGCGAACATGAAGCCACGAATGAGGTTGGGGAATCTGTAATATGAACATAGTGGCATTCAGATAGAATGCGTTCATTCCAAAGTATAGCAGATATAAGCTATAAGGTTGGATTCCTTTTATACCTTTTGTGGTGTGTAGTTGGTAACGCCTTGACTTAGTAATTATAAGTCCTAGCTTCGAGTCCCGGTTGGGGTAAAAAATGATTCATGTTTTCACATATATAATGTGCTTATTGGAGTATTGTATGACCCGAATGAGATTGGGAATTGAATTAAATGCGAACATGAAGCCACGAGTGAGGTTGGGGAATCTGTAATATGAACATAGTGGCATTCAGATAGAATGTGTTCATTCCAAAGTATAGCAGATATAAGCTATAAGGATGGATTCCTTTTATACCTTCTGTGGTGTGTAGTTGGTAGCGCCTTGACTTAGTAATTATAAGTCCTAGGTTCGATTCCCGGTCGGGGTAAAAAATGTTTCATGTTTTCACATATGTAATGTGCTTATTTGAGTATTGTATGACCCGAATGAGATTGGGAATTGAATTAAATGCGAACATGAAGCCACGAGTGAGGTTGGGGAATCTGTAATATGAACATAGTGGCATTCAGATAGAATGTGTTCATTCCAAAGTATAGCAGATATAAGCTATAAGGTTGGATTCCTTTTATACCTTCTGTGGTGTGTAGTTGGTAGCGCCTTGACTTAGTAACTATAAGTCCTACGTTCGAGTCCCGGTCCAGGTAAAAAAATGATTCATGTTTTCACATATGTAATGTGCTTATTTGAGTATTGTATGACCCGAATGAGATTGGGAATTGAATTAAATGCGAACATGAAGCCACGAGTGAGGTTGGGGAATCTATAATATGAACATAGTGGCATTCAGATAGAATGCGTTCATTCCAAAGTATAGCAGATATAAGCTATAAAGTTGGATTCCTTTTATACCTTCTGTGGTGTGTAGTTGGTAGCGCCTAGACTTAATAATTATAAGTCCTAGGTTCAAGTCCCAGTCGGGGTAAAAGATGATTCATGTTTTCACATATGTAATGTGCTTATTTGAGTATTGTATGACCCGAATGAGATTGGGAATTGAATTAAATGCGAACATGAAGCCACGAGTGAGGTTGGGGAATCTGTAATATGAACATAGTGGCATTCAGATAGAATGCGTTCATTCCAAAGTATAGCAGATATAAGCTATTAGGTTGGATTCCTTTTATACCTTCTGTGGAGTGTAGTTGGTAGCGCCTTGACTTAGTAATTATAAGTCCTAGTTTCGAGTCACAGTCGGGGTAAAAAATTATTCATGTTTTCACATATGCAATGTGCTTATTGGAGTATTGTATGACCCGAATGAGATTGTTAATTGAATTAAATGCGAACATGAAGCCACGAGTGAGGTTGGGGAATCTGTAATACGAACATAGTGGCATTCAGATAGAATGCGTTCATTCCAAAGTATTGCAGATATAAGCTATAAGGTTGGATTCCTTTTATACCTTCTGTGGTGTGTAGTTGGTAGTGCCTTGACTTAATAATTATAAGTCCTAGTTTCGAGTCACAGTCGGGGTAAAAAATTATTCATGTTTTCACATGTGTAATGTGCTTATTGGAGTATTGTATGACCCTAATGAGATTGGGAATTGAATTAAATGCGAACATGAAGCCACGAGTGAGGTTTGGGAATCTGTAATATGAACATAGTGTCATTCAGATAGACTGCATTCATTCCAAAGTATAGCAGATATAAGCTATAAGGTTGGATTCCTTTTATACCTTCTGTGGTGTGTAGTTGGTAGCGCCTTGACTTAGTAATTATAAGTCCTAGGTTCGAGTCCCGGTCGGAGTAAAAAATGATTCATGTTTTCACATATGTAATGTGCTTATTTGAGTATTGTATGACCCGAGTAAGATTGGGAATTGAATGAAATGCGAACATGAAGCCACGAGTGAGGTTGGGGAATCTGTAATATGAACATAGTGGCATTCAGATAGAATGTGATCATTCCAAAGTATAGCAGATATAAGATATAAGGTTGGATTCCTTTTATACCTTCTGTGGTGTGTAGTTGGTAGCGCCTTGACTTAGTAATTATAAGTCCTAGGTTCGCGTCCCGGTTGGGGTAAAAAATGACTCATGTTTTCACATATGTAATGAGCTTATTTGAGTATTGTATGACCCGAATGAGATTGGGAATTGAATTAAATGCGAACATGAAGCCACGAGTGAGGTTGGGGAATCTGTAATATGAACATAGTGGCATTCAGAGAGAATGCGTTCATTCCAAAGTATAGCAGACGTAAGCTATAAGGTTGGATTCCTTTTATACCTTCTGTGGTGTGTAGTTGGTAGCGCCTTGACTTAGTAATTATAAGTCCTAGGTTCGAGTCCCGGTCGGGGTTAAAAATGATTCATGTTTTCACATAGGTAATGTGCTTATTTGAGTATTGTAAGACCAGAATGAGATTGGGAATTGAATTAAATGCGAACATGAAGCCACGAGTGAGGTTGGGGAATCTGTAATATGAACATAGTGGCATTCAGATAGAATGCGTTCATTCCAAAGTATAGCAGATATAAGCTATAAGGTTGGATTCCTTTTATACCTTCTGTGGTGTGTAGTTGGTAGTGCCTTGACTGGCTAGTACAGTGGTAACGCGCTGGCTTCGCATTCACGAGGTCGAAAGATCGGTCCCCGTCCAAGACCGAGAGTTTAAGCTGTTTACTGGCAGGAACTGCTGTGGGTGGACATCACAGTGGGGGGTTGGGGCTTGTCCTGGCTGACGAATACCCATTGTAAAATGGAAATAAAGTTTATTATTATTATTATTATTATTATTATTGACTTAGTTATTATAAGTCCTAGGTTCGAGTCCCTGTCGTGGTAAAAAATGATTCATGTTTTCACATATGTAATGTCCTTATTTGAGTACTGTATGACCCGAATGAGATTGGGAATTGAATTAAATGCGAACATGAAGCCACGAGTGAGGTAGGGGAATCTGTAATATGAACATAGTGGCATTCAGATAGAATGCGTTCATTCCAAAGTAGAGCAGATATAAGCTATAAGGTTGGATTCCTTTTATACCTTTTGTGGTGTGTAGTTGGTAGCGCCTTGACTTAGTAATTATAAGTCCTAGGTTCGAGTCCCGGTTGGGGTAAAAAATGATTCATGTTTTCACATATGTAATGTGCTTATTGGTTTATTGTATGACCCGAATGAGATTGGGAATTGAATTAAATGCGAACATGAAGCCACGAGTGAGGTTGGGGAATCTGTAATATGAACATAGTGGCATTCAGATAGAATGCGTTCATTCCAAAGTATAGAAGATATAAGCTGTAAGGTTGGATTCTTTTTATACCTTCTGTGGTGTGTAGTTGGTAGCGCCTTGACTTAGTAATTATAATTCCTAGGTTCTAGTCCCGGTCGGGGTAAAAAATAATTCATGTTTTCACATATGTAATGTGCTTATTTGAGTATTGTATGACCCGAATGAGATTGGGAATTGAATTAAATGAGAACATGAAGCCACGAGTGAGGTTGGGGAATCTGTAATATGAACATAGTGGCATTCAGATAGAATGCGTTCATTCCAAAGTATAGCAGATATAAGCTATAAGGTTGGATTCCATTTATACCTTCTGTGGTGTGTAGTTGGTAGCGCCTTGACTTAGTAAGTATAAGTCCTAGGTTCGAGTCCCGGTTGGGGTAAAAAATTATTCATGTTTTCACATACATAATGTGCTTATTGGAGTATTGTATGACCCGAATGAGATTGGGAATTGAATTAAATGCGAACATGAAGCCACGAGTGAGGTTGGGGAATCTGTAATATGAACATAGTGGCATTCAGATATGATGCGTTCATTCCAAAGTATAGCAGATATAAGCTATAAGGTTGGATTCCTTTTATACCTTCTGTGGTGTGTAGTTGGTAATGCCTTGACTTAGTAATTATAAGTCCTAGGTTCGAGTCCCGGTCGGGGTAAAGAATGATTCGTGTTTTCACATATGTAATGTACTTATTTGAGTATTGTATGACCCGAATGAGATTGGGAATTGAATTAAATGCGAACATGAAGCCACGAGTGAGGTAGGGGAATCTATAATATGAACATAGTGGCATTCAGATAGAATGCGTTCATTCCAAAGTATAGCAGATATAAGCTATAAGGTTGGATTCCTTTTATACCTTCTGTTGTGTGTAGTTGGTAGCGCCTTGACTTAGTAATTATAAGTCCTAGGTTCGAGTCCCGGTCGGAGTAAAATATGATTCATGTTTTCACATATGTAATGTGCTTATTTGAGTATTGTTTGACCCGAATGAGATTGGGAATTGAATTAAATGCGAACATGAAGCCACGAGTGATGTTGGGGAATCTGTAATATGAACATAGTGGCATTCAGTTAGAATGAGTTCATTCCAAAGTATAGCAGATATAAGCTATAAAGTTGGATTACTTTTATACCTTTTGTGGTGTGTAGTTGGTAGCACCTTGACTTAGTAATTATAAGTCCTAGGTTCGAGTCCTGGTTGGGGTAAAAAATGATTCATGTTTTCACATATATAATGTGCTTATTGGAGTATTGTATGAACCGAATGAGATTGGGAATTGAATTAAATGCGAACATGAAGCCACGAGTGAGGTTGGGGAATCTGTAATATGAACATAGTGGCATTCAGATAGAATGCGTTCATTCCAAAGTATAGCAGATATAAGCTATAAGGTTGGATTCCTTTTATTCCTTCTGTGGTGTGTAGTTGGTAGCGCCTTGACTTAGTAATTATAAGTCCTAGGTTCGAGTCCCGGTCGGATGGCTAACTTCTTGGCCTTTCCCATCCTCTTCCGGTACTTGATGCCGGATGCTAAGTCTCACGGGTCTGGTCATATATCTCCTTGACACTTTCTACAAACATTGGCCTTACCACAGAAAACAAGCCTCCCACGTTTCTCTTCACGGCTTGTGGTGTTTTCGAGATCCGAGGGTCCCTTATCCTTTAGGCTTCTTGGGGGTGCATGGCGTCGGGGGTTAGTTCCAGGTGCCTAGCCATAAATCTTGGTGGTCCCAAGGGGAAACATGGTCTGTACCCAAAACAATAAAAGTGAGGGCATGTAATAAAATATCTGTGCCCTCGACCAACCTTTACCCCTCAAGATTTGTTACAAGTTTCAGATTCTGGCTTCAGCATGACGGAAGTCATGCGACAGACTTACCATCACTCGAAGCTAGAAGAGTGAGGGGGGATATGGTGACAGTCTTTAAATTCCTTCATGGTTATGATAGAGTGGATAGGGATCGATATTTTGATATGGCTGGCTCTAGAACTAGAGGTCATAGTTTGAAGCTTCGTAAGAAAACTTCTTTGCAGGATGTAAGGAAATACTTTTTCAGTGTAAGATTAGTTGATAATTTGAATTCTCTAAGCAAGGAGGTAGTTAATGCTATCTCAATCCATAGTTTTAAGGACAGGTATGATAAGTATCACTAAGTCTAAAATGGAACCGATCATGAGACGGGAAGATACGAGCTTTGGGCTCTTTCCCGTAAACACAATTAGGTAATCACAATTAGGTAATCACACACACACACACACACACAGGAAGAGATGGGAAAGATCAAAAACTTGTTGCAAGAGGCAAGAAGGTTAAATGATGAAAGAAATGAAGAAGAGAAGAAAAATTTTCATTACAGAGTTCTTCCAGACAAAGGGGAGATAAAGAAGATAATGACAGAAGATCAGGGGATGGGGCATCATTAAGATTGTTATACACAAATGCTGATGGATTTGCTGGTAAGGCAGTAGAATTAAAAGATAGGATTCACAACAGTAATTCAGATTTAGAAGCAATTACAGAGACTAAGTTGAGTGAAGACATAAACAGTGTCACAGTTTTTCCTAAGGGTTTCAGAATGCTAAGGGTTGAAAGATCTGAGAGGACTGGTGGAGGGATAGCACTGCTCATAAGTGAAAGGATTCAAGTCGAAGAAATAAACTTGGCTATAGAAAGTGAGTTCAAGGAATTTCTTGTTGCTCGCATAAATACTGGGTCAGAGAGCATTATAATAACTGTTGTATACAACCCACCAAGAAACCAAAATAGGCTTGAAGTTTATGAGGAAAGTCATATAGGTACTCTTGAAGTCATAAACTCAGTTGTTAACATGGCACGGGAAAAAAATGTAGGATTTTGATTATGGGAGACTTTAATCATAAAGAGATAGATTGGATAAATCTTGACCCACACAGTGGTGAGGACTCATTCGGGGCAAGATTCCTAGATTGCGTACAAGGGAATTTCCTACACCAACATGTAATGGAACCAACAAGGGCCAGGGGTGGGGATGAGCCATCACTACTTGATCTAGTGTTCACAGATAATGTGTTGGATATTGAAAAAATTGAGTATGAACCACCAATTGGAAAGAGTGACCACTGTGTGTTGTTGATGGAGTATATCATTGAAGATATTCTTCCTGAGAGTAGAGGCACTGAGAACATGAGGAGGAACTATCGGAAAGGAGATTGCATCAAAATGAATGAGCTTTTTGCAGTTATTGACTAGAGAACCTTATTTTACAACAAATCTGTACAAGAAATGTATGACATCTTTTGTGAGAAATATGGGAAGATAGTAGATTGCTGCATACCTGTCACCAAAGTAGGTGTAATTCATGCCAGAGAGAAATGGTTCGATAATGGGTGTAAAAGAGCTAAGGAGTGGAGAGACAAATGCTGGAAAAGGTATAGGAGGAGAAAAAACATAAATGCCTGGCAAACCTACAAAAGAGCAAGAAATGACTACCTAAGTAAAAGGAGAGAGGCAGAGAGAGACTATGAGAGGGACATCACCAGGAAGGCTAAAGAAAATCCCAAGCTTTTCCACAGCTTTATCAGAGGAAAACTGAAGGTAAAAGAACAGGTTTTAAGGCTAAAGAGAGCAGATGGAAGCATCACTGAGGCGGATGAAGAGATCTGCAAAGAATTGAACAAGGAGTTTCAGTCAGTATTTACAGTAGAAAATACCCCACCCCCTCAGATTGCAGTGATAGAAGCTCAAGGGCCGGTATTAGAGAACATCAACCTTACAGCCACAGAGGTATGCAAAGCACTGATGGATTTAAATGTTCATAAGGCTACAGGTCCCGATGACATATCCCCTCATGTACTTAAAAAATGCGCAAACACAATATCAGTGGCACTAAGTATCATATTTAAGGAGTCACTGGAGTCGGGGGAGATTCCAAGATGCTGGAAACAAGCAAATGTGATACCTATCTTCAAAAAGGGAAGGAGGGATACGGCTCTGAACTATAGACCAGTTTCCTTCACCAGCTTAGTTTGCAAAGTTATGAAGAAACTACTAAGGAAACATATCTCTCTTCACTTGGAATCCTTCAACTTTTTGTCAGTGAGGCAACATGGCTTCAGAGAAGGTAGATCAACAGTAACAAACTTATTAGAATTTTATGATGAGGTAAGCCAAATCTTACAGGAAAGAGAGGGCTGGGCAGACTGCATATTCCTAGACTTCCAGAAAGCGTTTGACACTGTTCCACATGGGAGACTTATTAGGAAGCTGCAATCAATGGCTAGAATAGGTGGAAATGTTTTGGAATGGATAAAAACTTACGTAAAAGGAAGGGAACAGAGGGTTAGAGTAAGACACTCAGTGTCTGAATGGAGAAGAGTTAGTAGTGGAGTTCCACAGGGTTCAGTTTTAGGGCCACTTTTGTTCCTTGTATATGTAAAAGACCTACCAGAGTCTGTAAATTCATTCATGAATATGCTTGCAGATGATGCAAAGATTGTGAAGAAAGTAAAAAACGAGAACAATGGTAGAGAACTTCAGGAGGATCTAAATAATCTGCATGAGTGGTCAGAAAAGTGACTAATGAAATTCAATACTTCAAAATGTAAGGTAATGAGAATGGGTACAAGTGCAAGAAGGCCCAAGCTTGACTACTCGGTGGCTGGAGTACAACTTCAAGAGACAGAAAATGAGAGAGATCTAGGAGTAAACATACCGGCAGATTTGTCTCCAGAAATACATATAAATGGCATAGTAAGGGCAGCATATGCATTCTTATCAAATGTAAGGGTAGCCTTCAGGCACATGGACAAGGAAATGTTCAGAAATATTTATGTAACCTATGTGAGGCCCAAACTCAAAAATGCAGCCCCCTTTTGGAATCCGCACTTGAAAAAGCACATAGCTAAGCTTGAAAAAGTTTAAAGACATGCCACGAAACTGGTGCCAGAAATACGCAATCTCAGTTATAATGAGAGGCCGAGGGAATTAGACTTACCATCACTCGAAGCTAGAAGAGTGAGGGGGGATATGGTGACAGTCTTTAAATTCCTTCATGGTTATGATAGAGTGGATAGGGATCGATATTTTGATATGGCTGGCTCTAGAACTAGAGGTCATAGTTTGAAGCTTCGTAAGAACACTTCTTTGCAGGATGTAAGGAAATACTTTTTCAGTGTAAGAGTAGTTGATAATTGGAATTCGCAAAGCGAGGAGGTAGTTAATGCTACCTAAATCCATAGTTTTAAGGACAGGTATGATAAGTATCACTAAGTCTAAAATGGAACCGATCAGGAGACGTGAAGAAACGAGCTTTGTGCTCTTTCCCGTAAACACAATTAGTAATCACAATTAGGTAATCACACACACACACACACACACACACACACACACACACACACACACACACACACACACACACACACACATATATATATATATATATATATATATATATATATATATATATATATATATATATATATATATATATATATATATATATATATATATATATATATATATATATATATATATATATATATATATATATATATATATATATATATATATATATATATATATATATATATATATATATATATATATATATATATATATATATATATATATATATATATATATATATGTATATATATATATATATATATATATATATATATATATATATATATATATATATATATATATATATATAATGATAATAATAATAATAATAATAATAATAATAATAATAATAATAATAATAATAATAATAATAATAATAATAATAATAATTATAATAATAATAATAATAATACAATAAATATATATATATATATATATATATATATATATATATATATATATATATATATATATATATATATATATATATATATATATATATATAGATAATAATAATAATAATAATAATAATAATAATAATAATAATAATAATAATAATAATAATAATAATAATAATAATAATAATAATAATAATAATAATAATAATGATAATAATAATAATAATAATAATGATAATAATAATAATAATAATAATAATAATAATAATAATAATAATAATAATAATAATAATAATAATAATAATAATAATAATAATAATAATAATAATAATAATAGTAGTAATAACAATAATAATAATAATAATAATAATAATAATAATAATAATAATAATAATAATAATAATAATAATAATAATAATAATAA